TATGTGTGTTCTTTCTGCTGAATATGATGCATTTAGCCTTGCTGGGCGAAAAGGTGAAGCCTATATTGTTTGACCATTGGTCAAATTTGTATAGCTGGGTTTTCAAGAGTATGGCACTGGTTTGAATATTTCTGCCTCTCACATATAATATCATGTCGTCCGCATAGAGACGAGCTTGGACGGGTTTCTCCATATTTAATAAGCTTGTTGTACACCGTTTTCTTGTGTTTTGGGTTTGGCCCATTCACGCGAACTTGGAAGCTTCTGTTTTTATTATTATAACCATATTCTTTGAGTTTTTTAAGTATTTTATATCTACAAGCGGTATCAAATGCTTTATTGATGTCAAAGTATATGGCTAGGCAGTGCTGTTGGTTTTCAAATGCTTCATGGATACAGTTAGATAAGTCGACTATGTTTTCCATTGTCGATCTGTTCGGTCTAAACCCTGCTTGTTCCTGAATGAGTATATTTTGTTGCTCCAAGCTCCAGATCAGTCTTTTGTTGATAATTTTTTCCAGAAGTTTGCTTGGGACACAGGTCAAAGAGATAGGTCTGTATGATTCTGGATCTAGCTGCTGTTTATTTGATTTGAGAATTGGAATGGTGATTGCTTGATGCCAACTGCTTGGAAATATGTTTTTCATCCAGATTATGTTATAGATGTCTAATAGGTATTTCTTTGCAATTGGTGGTAGTTTCTTGAGGAAAATGGGTGGAATGTCACCTTGTCCTGGTGATGTGTTTTTTAGATCTTCAATAGCGTCATTTGGTTCGTTCATGGTCAATATGGTATTAAAACTCTTGAGGATTATTTTCATTACTGGAGTGTTTGTGATATGTTTTAGCCAATGTTTCCGCAATCTATTCTTTATTTGTGTGGATCGTTGTATCTTCTCGTATAGCCTTAATTTTTTGGAAACTGCTAACACCTATGATGCTTTTTACCTTCTTCCAGACTTTTGATATCGGAGTAGATGTGTTTATTCCTTTAACAAAGTCTTGCCATGATATTTTCTGACTTTTGTTAGTACAAGCCTTGTTTTGGCCTGTTTCTGTCTTAGGCCCCGCAGGTTTTCTGGTGTTTTGTGCCGCTTGAATTTATTAAGTGCTGACTTGCTTTCTGTAAATGATGCCTGGCAATCTTGGTTCCACCAAGGGACCGGAGCTTTCTTTCTGATAGTTTTTGTTTTTCCAATATGCAATCTTGCAGCTTCAGTGATCACAGTATTCAGCATATCAGTTATAATGTCAATATCTTTGCCTAGATCAATCCTGTGAATGTTGTCTTCAATATGTCGTGCGTAATTAGTCCAGTCAGCATCTTTCAGCTTCCATTTTTTCGGTGGTTTTGTGTCACTCGTTTCATTCTTTGTATCTGAGATGATGATGGGAAAGTGATCGCTACTATGTAAGCCCTCAGAAGTGATCCAGTTTAAGCGAGGGAGTAGGTTTGGAGAGCATGCAGTTAGGTCGATGGTGGAGAATCTTCCTGAAGCAGCATGGAATCTTGTATTGCTCCCATCATTAAGTACAGTCAGATTGTAAGTGTCAAATATTTCTTTAACTAGTTGCCCTCGAGTATCGTTTTTGAACGAGCCCCATGAAAAGCTGTGAGCATTGAAGTCTCCTAAGATCACTCTAGGGTTAGGTATTTGATCTAACAATGTTTGAAGCTCGTTGGGTTCCAAACTATAGTCTGGAGGAATGTATATATTACAAATATTAACAGCTTCTTTGAGATCTAGTGTTACAGCGATGTTTTCTAGGTTTGTGTTTAATGGAATTTGTCGTGCCGGTATATCACATTTAATAAAAGTTGCAACTCCTCCGCTGGCTGTTGATCTGTGACGATTTTTTATAAACCCGGTGTAGTTCTTGGGTGTATGTGTTTTCGAGTCGGTAAAATGTGTTTCTTGGAGACAAATGACATCCGGTGCGTGGTCGCTTATTAGTTTTTTCAGCATATTTAAATGGATAAAGTATCCATTCAAATTCCATTGTAATATCGGCATGAATTACCCAGTTAATATGTAGATGAATCTATTGATGAGTCATCGCTGAATGAGTCATTAAGGTTAGTATTGAGATGTCGTTCTAGCTTCTTTCGTAGCCTGGTGCATTTATTTTTCAATGTTCTGTAGCAAATATGTGGATATATTAGCAGTAACATCAGTCCCTTTACATCTTGGGTGTAATCGTTTATTACATTAGTTATATCTTGTAGTCCATGTGTATTTTCTAGCAAGCTTTTTAGTTGGTCGCAATTTAATACTAGGGGTGAGGTGTGGTTCTCTATAAACGTTTTTATTGGTGTCATGGCATCTTCATGAATGACTGCTGAACCATGTTCTGACTTTTGTTTTTTAGTGGTGCTTGTAGATTTGGGAATAACGAAGGTAGGATCATTTACTGTATTTGGCGTATTTTCTGCTGGAGGTGACAGGATGTCTGAGAGGGGTCTTTTGTTAGATGTTTTTTCTATTGTGGGTGTCTGAATATTGGTGAATGCTGCGCTAGATGCTTCTTGTGTTGCTTGTGAGACGTTGAGAGTTTCTTGTGATTTAGTTTTATCGTTAGGTCGAGATATTGTGAGGGAAGTTGTGGTTTCTTTGGGCGCATTTTCGTTGTTTTGGTGGGATTGTCTGGCTAGCGTTTTTTTGTTTGTTATCCTGTCTGTTACTGTTACTTGTAGATGTTGTGTTGGATGCAGATGGGCAATGTGAAGCGATATGCTAGTTTGCATTTAAAGCACATCTGGCTGTCCAGTGACAGAAAAATGCGGTATGACAGACCATCGTAATTGATTTCGATTGACTCAGGTACTTCGTTCGATTCTAGCGGCGCAATATACACTTGCCTCCTGAAGCTCAGTATGTGACTGTATTCCGGTATGGGTGCTCCAATTTTCAAAAATGATATAGGAGATAGTAGTGTGAAACCTAGCTGTTGGATTTGCTCTTTTAAAACTGTATGTGGGATTGTTGGGCACACGTTCGATAACACCAATCTATCTGATGGTGTCACCAGTTTTCGAGCCTTAATTGTTTCTCCTAGTACAACAATTTCGCCTGGGTTCTCCAGGAAGCGATTGACGAGGTCTTTTGTTGATAAGTATATGCAAATCCTATTGTTTGATATCCTAGAGCAGAACAAAATGTTCTTCGGATCTACTATAGGACCTAACTGTAGTAAGTAATCCTGTATTTTTGCTCCATCTATGGAGTTAAAAATTATAGCTTGTTCTTTGTTTGGGTGTTTATATGTTGATAATATAGTGGAGTAGCGTGTGGGTCGGTTAAGTTGAGTTGATGCGATTGCTGTTATGGTTTTATTTCTGCTCGGCGAAATCTCATTGCTGAGTACGGACCTGTCTTGTTTGGCCTGCCGATTTTGGTGACTTTTTGTTTGGATGATCGGAATGTATCTTCGCTGCTGATGTTAATTCGTCTAATTTATATGCTATATCTGTGATATATGGAAAATACTTCTACTCACTATGCGTTCTGGATCGTGGTCAATACTTTGTAGTAGGAGCCACAAATTAATTATACTTCGGAACACTTTAATTGGTTAATTTCTCGAGCTCGCTATCTATTCAGCTAACTGATAGGGTAGCAGGACCGGATTCCCCAAAGATTTTATTGAAATATGCCATATGTCCCTTAAATGCAACGTGCATTATAAAAATGTAAACCAAACTTATGAATCCATCGACGGCTCGTTTTTCGTGAAACATTTTCTGCTGTTTCTTCATTCCATTTTGCTGTTATATCTCGATGACCAGCTTTACAAATACGAGAGATCTTTGCATTCTACGACTGATCTTACGTGGCCTACCAGCACCGTGTCTTGAAACTTGAGTTGAACCTGTGTCTCCATACCTTTTTACAATATCTACCACCGTAAACTTTGCGAAGTTTTTTGTTTAGCAATATACCGAAAACCCTTTCCTAAATGAAACCATTTTATGATTAAAACTCTGATTGCACCGTTTGTTGCTTTACCACTTTACCATTTTAAAGCAAACTGATTCACAGAATTGATTCTTAAATCAAAACGTCAAATTAAAAACACTTTTTTGTTTCCATGGCATTCTATTATTTTTTTTAATTTCTTGTCCGAAGATTTATGTGCCAGCAAAATGCTGCGTTGTTATCAATATTAGTTTGATTTTATATTTCAAAATCATATTGAAAACAGATTTGTTAATATGTCATTGTTTTATGAAAGAACAACAATTAATGTTTAACCTTACAAAAATAAACAAACTTTTAGAAATATTTTACAATTAAAGGAGTGTACCACAGTATAATCAAAATTGAATCCACGCAATTACTTTCTTTTTTAGGTTGAAAGCACCCATATATTTCAACGCAACCTGTATGTATTTGCAGTGGATATTGTAATGAAGTTTTTCTCAGTGCCGTGGATTGTGCACTTTCTAACTCCCCCTCGTATTTCTGTTTTCTCGACAAAACTAAATTTTTGAATGATTATTAATTCATCATTCTGATATAGCTAAATTAGGTATAGTGCCTTGTGTGGATTTTGTCCTCAACTAACAGTCTGGACTGCCCAAATAGATGAGGTTTTTTCTAACATTCCACACAGTTTCTGTCGCGTGATGTTACTCAACAAAAAAACACACGAAACTCAACAACTTTGTTCACCGAATAAGATACATTAATTTAATTGAAATGATTTAAATCAAATTTTAATTTTGAGCCTTGTGGTTGCAGTAGTAATTGAGTGTTGGGATTGGCAACGTTGCGTTCGATCTAGCAACACTGGAGGAGCCGGGCTTGGAGGGGAGACAGTATTCAGAGCGATGGAAAGGGAAGAGGGAACGCCAATCATCCGCTTTCTAAACTCACGGCTTTTTGAATCAGGATAGTTCCTGGTCACAGTCTTCGATGAAGGAACGCGGAACTGGCTCCTGAACCAGTTGCCGATCCTGACCTTTGGGGACCAAGTCTTCAGATCTATCAGATCTGTAGACGCCCCATGGCCAGTCAGGCTTCCACAACATAAGCCAGGAAATGATTGATACAAAAGTGGTGGAAAGACAGCCTTCGATATTCGACAAGTTACAGGGAAACAGCCTCCTTAGCGGCCCGATGCAGCTTAGGGTAGGTCAAAGTAACCTTCAACATAGCAATGGTGCCACGGCGGAGCTGATGGCTACATTTGCTGGAAGGACTAATGAAATAATACTTATCCAAAAGCCTTATTGTTACAAACAGCGGATACCGGAGTTGGAGGCTGTGACCTTCAGCCTAGTGTCAGGTCAGGAGGCATCTCCAACGGCAGTCATCCTAACGGAAATGAGTGTTAGTAACCATCGACTTAAGTTAGTTGTAGGCAGGGATCTAACTCCGACGGTCGACTCGGTAAATATTATAGATTTTTCGAATAGCAACAGATTATAGGTGTAGTTGTGTCGCCGTTCTTGGCGGGTCAAAGTAAGACTACCAGTATCCCTTTATATATCTCAGACATGAACAGTCGAGGCAAGATCCTAGTGGAGTGCATAGCGTCCCGCAATCTTGAGATCCTTAATAAAGGTTCCGGACCGACTTTTATTGATCGCGTCCGGAAAGAAGTTGTCGATATTACATCAACTTCACCAAGTCTGTAAAATATCGTGACTAACTGGAGGGTAACAGACCATATCATCCTATCCGACCCCAGGATAATCAGATCGGAGGTAATAGACCGAGATGTATATGTCCAATGCCGGAACCCAAAGGCCACAGGCCTGGGAGAGTCCCTTGGTGGTCCAAATCATTCATCAAGAATGGCACTAAGCAGAGCGATAAAGAAAGGCTACGATAGTTCTAGGTAAGCCTTTAAAAAGGCTAGGAAGAATTTCAAAAAAGAGCTACGCAGGAATAAAAGCGTACTACTGCGTGGAGTTAGGGAAACTGAGCGAATCCAATTTCTATGTGCATGTATGCAGACAGCCTGTATCATTTTAGGAAAGTGCTGTCGGAAAACAGGGCTCTCAGTCTGAGCCTTTGAGCAACAAGCATCAATTCCCCCAATCCTTTTCTCCACTGAAGCTGCTCAGGCTGACTGTTCCATTCTCTTCACTAAATACCGACGTGTTGCTGGACCAGAGAGGAAAGTAGTTCGTCAGTTTGTGACTCCAAGGAAATAGCGTCAAAATATGAGCAATTTGAAAATGATCCATGTTTAACAGGTTTTTACAAGAACTTAATTTTTAATTGATCGACTAAACTCGGCTCGGTAATAAAACGCTACACAACTTTCGTATTAACTTCTTTTTGTGAAAGGATTACTTTGGAAAATAAGATCGAAAACCATTTTTGGTCATATCTGATAAACAGTTCCAGAAAATCAGCAAACAATAAACTGTAACATTTTAGTGCAGTTGATTACCGTGTTATTTTACTGATTTTTCCATATCGTCTTGCATCTTTTAATTTTGGTAAACAAATTATATTATATTTGGCGTAATTTGCTTGGTGCTCGGGCATTCTGCATTGATTAAAACATAGAAACATGTAAAGAAGCAGAAGATTCTTACTTTTGCAAATTAGCTCTTCCATAGACGGTTTCCAACTACCCATCAATGACATATCCTCAAAGTTTTTCTTTCTTTTTTCCATATTAAACAGTTTTCCTTCATACTGCTTTAATCTGATATTGGCCAGGCAAACAGGACATTTTTTAACCTTTTGCTGCTTATTCTGAGGCCTCAAGTGACAGTTCATGGCAGAATTCACTAGTGATCCCTTGGCCAAAACTCGTATCCTGTCTTCCTCAGACACGTCATATAACCGGTTCAAGCTCTCCAGTAGTTTATTCCTACAGCTAACAATACCTTCGTTCCATTCGTAAATAGTTCTCATTATATTTCTCTCACTGGTACTTCTACAAAAACGGCATCAAGTAGATTGACTATGTTCGTACTTCCCATGCTATTTGATCATCAATTAGATTATGGTCGGTTTATTTTCATATGAACTATAATCTTAAAAAATCGACTAAATGAATGTGAAATATAGAGTCAACGTAGAACAGATGTTCAACAGACTGAATATATTTTCCGCAATTATTTTTATTTTTGGTTAATATAAAATGTAATAACCAGTTAGTAGCTATTAAAAAGAAACTGGGACAAATTAGATCCAATTAGAAAAAAGTTAACTAAGCACCTGAGTAACAAAAACAAAAAAAAAACGGGTTAAATCTATTCACGAGGCCCAAATGTAATCCTAACTTGGCTAGGTATGTGCACTTGTGTAAAGATTTTTTTCTCGTTTTCAATTTCTCTTTGAATGGCAAATGTATGAAAAATATATCTAATAGGTGAGTAATATTTCTGAATTCAGAAACTTCTCATTAATAGGTCGGCTTTCTCTGATATTGAATATCTTAGCCAATCCCCTATCCTCTACTATCCCCAATTTCCAACCTCTCAAATAATTCTAAAAAATGAGAGCTGTCTGAAACAGAAGTATTTTTTTTTTTCATTTTTGGATGTCAATCTTTATTTTCAGTGGTTGATAGACAAAAACTCGGATTCAAGTTTTTCTTTTGGTACCTTTATGTAGGATCTAAACTATCAATATTTGTCTCGATTAGGTATATCTTGGCAATATTGTCTGCAATATGTAGACAAATACCGGCACGTGTATTACGTATCTTGAAAAGTGACATTTTGTCGTTTTTTTCTGATATTTTGTATACGTAGGTTTTTTGTGACATAGCGTAGGTTTTTCTACAAGATGTCAACTTAGCACTGGCTGTTGTGCACTTGTTGTGAAATTGTTTTGTAGATGTACGTATTGCCTAAACGTCATGATGCTTCAGCTAACAATGTTTGGTTTTGATGAGATGTAACACCTGCTTCATAGATGGCGTTATTGAAGGTCTAAGCTGTTAAGTTGTAGTAGTAGCTGGAAGGTTCCTCTATGCTAAAAACGAAAACATTTTTGGTCCTCTTCTCTCTCTCTTGAAGCTCAATTTTTGCAACTGAGTGATGGTCTGCTTTAATTCTACAGTATAAGTTTTTGCTTTCTGAGCCATCTCTGCATATATTGGGACCTCTTTCATCCTGCTTCAATTCAATGCTGTTTTTGATCTTGATTTCATCTTTCAAAGATTCCCTGAAGGGTTATCAAAAATTGCTATGAGGCTTCCTCAAGGAATCCTAAGGTTCTTACTAAGGCATATAAATATCATTATTTTCACGTATAATTTAGAATTGCTTTTTGACGCATATACAAACATGCAAACACAAACTTACGTTAAGTTCAACTTAATATTTGCATTGTTACACGCTACTTGTATCTTAGTGAGAAACTCATTAAAGTGATCATTAATCAGGATCCAATCCAGGCCATCTGAGTACCACTGACCATATTTCAAAATTAATTTATTTTCCAAGTCTTCTATTTTGCTGACGTAATCCTTACAGGTTCTATAAGCTTCTGAGGCCTAGAATAAAAAAAATGGCGTCAAGTAGGTTGACTTTGAACTTCACTTCAACATGTTTAACAAAGGTATTAAATGGAACGTTTCAGTCAAATCGGCTCAAACAGTCTTTAGTCCCCACCCATATGACAAAACTGTGATCTTAAAATTTCTTTTTTGCCGTACCGACCACCCGACAACGTTGCGATGCGTAACTCTGGTGACCCCTACTGAGCGGGGCCGTGGCTTGTTCCGGAAGTTGTTCTACCCAGTATGCAGCTTTTTCCCGTTCAAATTATTGTATTGGGTTTAGGAATACCTCAGCACCGATTGCCGGTATAAGTCCGCCAACGGGGCACTTTAGGTCTATTTTACATCATACGCAAAAAAAAGGTGGTACACAAGTACCAGTCGACCGAGGCGGTACCATCCGCTAGTTTTTTCCAGGCTGTCTTAAGAATCTTCGCATGTTTCCACACCTAAGCTACGAGTTAGGTTAGCTTCCCCAAAAAAGAAATTAATGATGATGGATCCCTAGAGTACTGAGAATTTTGGACGTAAACTCACTCCACTCCTGGAATGTCCGGATGGAGGGTGGACTCGAGGGAACAACATCGATGATAAAATTTGTTTCACGAACATCTGCGCGATTAACAGCAACACTGATGCTGTTCATCACTACCTGTAATCCAAACGTCCCGCCATGCTTTTCTTGGCGAAGACAAAAATCTCAGAGTCTGCACCGATTGATCATCATAGCTTCCCAAATTACGAGGTACCACCAATCTGAGAAAAAACGGGGGAGTTGTGGCTTTTGTCGGCAGCAGTATTTCCTGATTCAGAGACGTTTCTTTGGAATCACATCGGAAGGACGTTCTGTGGCTTCGCCTCAACTACAAAAAATCCCCCAAAATGTATTTGCTGCCTTTAACGCTCTCCCTCAAGACCAGATACAGCAGGTCGAGCAGTTAAAGCGTTTGCTATTACCCAAGGACTGACCCAGCTGGTGATGAGTCCTACTTTTTTCCTCCGCGTTTCGTCACACGTCAGTAGCCTGCTGGATCTGAAAAAGCATGCTATACCTTACAGCACTGCTGCCCTGCCTCCCTTGGGTAACTAAGACCACGGTGTTGTGGCAACAGAAACTCGGCCAGGCCGTAAAGTTTGACATTACGGACATGCCGACATGGAGAGACTTCTTCTCCACTTTTCCCTGGAAAGATATTTGTTTCGCTGATGCGTTGACTGTCTGTTCATCGATAACCGAAATAATACTCGCTGGGATGGAGGAATACGACCCTCATGCAGTGAAAGTGCGTAAACCAGGCTGCAACGCCTGGTAATGTCGCAGCGCAATGGCAGTCGAAGGCTGGCCAAGCAGACTGAAAGAAACTCCTCACAGAGTAGACCTCCATCACTTACGTGTGTACGACTCAAAGGCTACGGAGGAAGTAATTGCCAAGATCTTTGTTGTCAACTCCACCATGCGAGAAGTAGCATAAGTCCGTAAGACTCGTGCTCTTATCGCTCGATATCAACAAAGCTTCTGGTCCGGACTTGATAACTGTCGTTGTATTAAAGAGGTGTGCAGCGGAGCTTGCTCAAGTTCTTTAGCGTCTCTCCCAAATATCTTACGAATCCGGCACCTTCCTAGAAAACTGGAAATTTGCTGATGTCCAACCCATCCTAAAAAAAGTATCTAAGACCGACCCTTATAACTACAGGTCTTCTGGACTACCCTCGAACGTCACGACTTGATTAGCGGCAGGATGTATAGTTTCCGGCACCAGCGATCTACAGCGGACCTTCTCGTTTACGTCACGCAATTGTGAAGTAAACTCACCCAGACTTATGGTGAGGCTCATTTCGTTGCTCTCGATATCACAGAACTACGAACTTCGATCGTATGGCCTCCCAGAAACACTTAGCAGATGGGTGGCTACTTTCTCTCTGGCCGCAAAATATCCGTCGTAGAGATGCTTTGCAGTTGGGGTCGTCGTCGTCGACAATGATCCTGTTACATACCAGCGACCTCCTTTCATGTACGATCAACCCAATCCACAGCGTTGCTGATGAGACAGCACTCTGCATGCAGGAATTCAGAGCGACAGCGACAGAGCTGGAAAAAAGAAGACTAGCTGTGTCTTTCTCCCTCACATCTCCTCAATAGCGGCAGCTGCTGGGAAAAAGTTAGGCTATTTGTTTAGGGCTCCTGACCTCCTCACTCTATTCAAGCCCAGATAAGACCTAGCCTAGAGTATTGCTTATCTTTGGCAGTTCAAAAATCGGATTAACAAAAATTCTTTGGGATCCTCATAGCAGTCGCGGTGTCACGGCATTTAGGCTTCTGCCCGCGCGGCTGCTTCGGCGTAAATAAAATATGTCAGTTTTGCTTTGTACTGTCACTGTTATCAGGTAAGGGAAAGTACCGACTTTGCGACTCCATAATGCCTTATTCAGCGAACTGGATGATACTGAATTTAAAAAAAAAGAATCAGGATGCGGATTCGAAAGATTATTAGGTTTTCTGGAAAACCTTCCATGATTGTTGAATAAATATAGACAAAAGAAAAAAGTATTTGGTTGATTCAAACTGAACAACGCAACTATTCAGCTTCCTCAATTTCTAATTCAATTTTCATTTCTTTTTTATTAGTTCCTCTTCTTCAGCTACACTAAAATTCTATTCATTCAACTGACTCAGTATTGTTCTTTCATTGCAGAAAATAAGCAGATTTTTCCAATTCAGTTCCACCTATATTAATGGCACTAATCTGGAGTAGGCAGCATAAGGACTCCAACCATACTGTTTAGGGTTTACTATTTATCGGTCTGTTTTTTGTCAGTCTATGCTTTTTGAAAATTGAATGCCGTTATTCTTATTCTAATATGACGTGATTTAAATTGTACCTCATTGATAAACTTTTCCATATATTTATGTTCCACCTCGATACAGTCTTTTCTCAAAAGCTCATCTCTAAGTGTCGGCTGTTTAGGAGGATGCTGCTCTAATACTTCTGCCAGGTTGTGCATCGTATGGACCAGCTGTAATTTATCTACAGGCAGTTTAGTACCTGCCCTACCATCGGAAAACGTTGCTCTTAACTGTAGGACGTCCCTGTAGTATCCTATTGCTTCTCGGTGTTTACCTTGCAGCAAATGTATACCTGCGAGACCTATGGAATGCATACATATGTGTAATTAACACAACATAAATAGACTCAAAGCAAATTATAGATAAAGCTGATGTCTAATTAAACGTCATATTTCCATTTAAAATTAAAAGGTCTTGCCTTTAACTTATCTGCTAGAATGGCCAAACCAAAAACACAGCGTCTAACCACATGTCGTTGCTATGAATGTTTATTGTTTATCATTTGTAGCCGAAAATTAAGTATTTTGTAGACAAATTCACTTCTGTTTCAAAAATATTCATGTAAGTGAACTGGTCAGATCAATTACAAAAGGTATTCTGAGAAGCTCCATTAAATATTAGTCCAAAACTTACATTTTTGCAAATGATATCGATAAAATGCGTGCTCAGTTAAAAGTTTTCTAATATTTTGGAAAAAATAATATAAGGAGCGTGTAACAATAATAAAACAATATTACTTCATTCAGCTCATTACAGATATAGCAGCTTCTAAATATCTTCTGGCAGTTTGGCAATACTGCTGGACGCTGGAATATGAAGATGGTATAACGATAAGCTTAACTACATTTTTACAGAAAGGAAACAGCTGGGACTGAAACTTAAGGAGAACGTATTTGATTATCGGTAAAAAATCAAAACAAGCACTGGATAACAAGCTACCAATCTACACTGATTTACTCGAGCCAATTTAGATATACGGCTCCAGATATGGGGCACAGCCAGCAACACTTCAAAACTAGTGACAGAGAACGATCGTCAATGCCCCATTCTATGTCTTTATCTGTGTGATTTAGCGTAACATTCCACTATTAGTGAAGTGACCCAGAAGTTTAGTGTTAGTTACAGTGAAAGGGGTGAAGCTCATCCAAATGTGCTTTTTCGCAGATTATACGAGGTCTGTAATTTAAGTGATGAGATCATTCAGCTGACTTAATAATGGGTCGAGAAGTACCACGGACGTAAAACATGCATGTTAATAACGATCACTAATTGATCAACTGCAGATTGCTGTTACCGTATGAGTTCATTGATGGGCATTAAAAAAAACGAATTTGTTAATATCACACATAACTTGTTTCATTCGATTGCAACATCAACATATTTTATTAGGAAATATCTTTTTAAAACCGATCTCTCATTAAATGTAGCGTTATAATTCAACGTTAACGTTTCTTTGATAATCTTATGATGATACTTTATTAATTAGTTTAATGAACTGATCAATGAGAAACAATATCAGATTCAAGTTTTTGAACACACTATTGATGAAACGAAAAATAAAAAGTTTGGTGAACTATAGAACATTTCATAAATGCAATAGGCAATTCCGCTTTATCCTAGGGACACGGACCAGGGCCTCGGATTGATGAGCGTTCCCAAATGCTTGCGGCAAAGTAGGTCCCGGATTTCTCTCTGCCCTGGGACCTCTTCAGCCGCAAGTTCGGCCTTGCCCCGAACTCCTGTGTGCCTAAAGGCTCATGTATGGCTTAAGCTGGTTCTGTATGTAGTAAACACTTACCATTTAGGGAAGAAATTATTAATCGTAGGCATTCTTCACTATCAGATATATTTTTCTGGATCAGAGCTTCCAGTAGATCTTGCATGGAAGTTAATTGCTTCTTGGTTGCTAAGTACCGGCCTCTAGATGTGTTTGGATGGGTACACGCATGTCTCAAACTCAATAAAGGGGCCAGGATCTGAAAATGATTTGATATTCACACGAGGAATACAAAATGTTCACAAAATTAGTGAACAGTGATTTTTCGCGAGGTAACCATGTAACCTGGTTAGATCTGGTAAACATGTTGACATTTTTCATTGAGGTTTGAAAGCCCATTATAAAGCGATCAATAATATTTATCTTACTATACCACGTAACTATCTATTTCTATGTAGTTGAAATAGAGTACTTTATCTCCAAAATAACAAACAACTGAGATTCTCATGCAGATTGCAGAACAGAAGATTTATTGATTGGAGAGTCGAAGAGAAAAAATGAATATATTCAAACCATAAATCATTTTCCTAATCAATCCAATTGTCGTAGTAGATAATGAAATCTATCCGGGTCTATCGCCGAACAAAAGTACGAGGTGCTTCACATTACTACATTTGAATCAGCTGTGTTCAAATATTACTTGAATCCTCTTCTATAACGTATAACTTATATTTTTAAAAAGCAAGTTATCAAAAAATGAGAAAGAAAAGAAGCATACAAGTGTCAGAAGGGATAATAATAAATGGCGCCAATCCAACCACAAATCCAACGTTCCAAGTCAACGGCTTCTGTGTCGACAATGTTAAATCATATCATGCTGTCACGAAAATTATCTTATCTGGCACGTTATGGTTACCTTACAAAAATTCGTTTAATACCTTTAATCTTATCTTTATGGTACATTTGAAATTAGAAATAATGAGGAATAAATTTTAAGTACATGCTATGCTTGACGTATCAGTTACTATATGACTTTAGCAACCTATATGACAAGAATATCAGATTCTGGGGAATACTTTGTGATATGAATTACTTACGGAATTCAAAGTAGTCTTTTCAATTCTTTCCAGCAGTAGGGATGGATCACGGTTTCTCACTTTACGTAAGAAGTCATTGCAACTAAGCTCGTGTTCTCTCTTGTAAAAGAACTTTTCAACAGCAGAGAACTCCAAAAAATGTTGCTTGAACGTTTGTTTTGGAATATTTATCTACAACACAGTATTGCAACACTTCTTGAATCTAACCGATATTTGATGGATATTTTGATTTATACACATATACAAAAAATAGGGAAGTTCCAATGACAATGTAAGCTATTTACGACGATACTTCGACAAATTCTGATGGCAATTTAAGTGACCCATTGTATTAATTTTGTACTGGCGATAAAAGCAAATCCACAGGAATTCAGCAGCATCAGAACTGTTTGCATTAAACATCGACTATTCTTTCATAACGTTTACCTAACTTAAAATATAAGTTACGATTATTACTAACCCTTTACTAGTATCGTCGGGTCAAAATTGACCAATGTTATGTGAAAAGTGCCAAACGAAAGTTATTGCACATTTTCTTATTTGAGATAGTATTTGTTTTTTTTTTGTTGTAGAATATGAAGACCAAATATGTTGTTTAACGGCCCATTATGTTCATATTTCAGTTGAAATTTCGTAAATTATTTATTGCGTTATTCACAGTGGCGTAGCTAGAAGTCATGGGGCCCCGGGGCAAATATTTTTTGGGGGCCCTCATGAGTATGTTTAAGAATAAAAAATATCATGTTATAATAAAAAAATTGTTTATTGTCATAAAAAACAAAAAGTAACACAAATTAAAATAATGAAATAAGAAAAGTAAAAAATTAAGCAATAATAAAATCAAAAATTCCTTTTCCTTGCTTTTCTATTTGCAAATTCGTTGATAATATCATTTATATCAAGGTTTTGGGCTTCTTCATTCTCTATAGAGAGTAAAGCAAGATCGCTCAATCTAATCCAGCCTGTAGTAGACCTAAGATAGTTTTTTTTACAAGTTTTAGCTTGTTAAATGATCTTTCAACAAATGCAGTAGTTACAGGCAACGTAAAAAATAAAAGGAACATTAAGTAAACTTCACTTAAGTCGCTTTCAAGTACCCCATACTTACTTAAAATTATATTGAAATATTCCTTAATTGATAGATCATTCTTAAGGTCTCTTTTACAAACATTTAAAAAATTGGCATACTGAAATATTAAATTATTTAAATCAAATATTTCAGGATATTTTTTATAAATGGCTGTACATTTATTTTTAATGGATGTTTCATCGCAACTTAATATAATTTTTGGAAGAAGTAAATCAAACATTTTATTAATTTTTTTCATGCTCCTAAATCTATTAGAAATCTGTGTCAGAACATGGTTCATAACAACATTAAAAACATTTATTTTAAATAAAATTTGAGTATTATTAAATCTGTAATCACTTAAGAGTTCGTCAAAGTGTTTTTTAACGTTGACGTTTTTGCCTGAATTCCGGTTGAATATTCCATTTGTTAGCCAGTTCCGTAGCTTCAATCATTAAAATTTCCTAAGAAGATCTTAAGTCAGTAAGGTTCTTTTCTACTTGTTCTAAAACAGTCACAGATTCACTTAAATCAATATTTTTCTTTTGAAGGACCTTTGAGGCGAAGTTAACCTGGGTAAAGATTTTATACAACATTGTTGAAATAAATACAAATTCAAAGCAACACATTTGTTTTTTAATGGAAGAAGCTTCTTCTCTTTCTCCTTTTTTATGAGACTGTAACTCTATTTCTGTTAATGATTTAATAATATCAAGATAACGAAGTTTGGCAGCACTAATAGACAATATCCTTCCTGACCAACGAGTTGGATTTAATGTTTTTAAAGTTGTTCTGGATTCACTGGTAAAAGAAGCTAAAAGATCCCATCTATCAATACTTAAACCAAAAAAATAATATATATTTTGCATAGATACTTGTTCTTTTTCAGCATGCTTTTTAAATTTTTCCTATTTTTCTAATTTCAATTTTCGTTTCTGTGCTCCAGACTGATATTTCCGCTTATCTTCCATTTTTATTTTTTTTGCGTTTTGTTCCGCAATCTGCTAATTCTGCAAAGAGAAGAATACACAACCATTTTTAAATGCATTAAATAGTTCGATAGTTGTGTATCAATTAGACTGTTTCAAAAAAATCGTCTATTTTTTTTCTCTCAAGTACGTCGAAAATATTGTTAGAAATGACGAAAAAAAATCCTGTAAAAGTAACAGCTCTTAATATTAATATTAAGTGGTGCCGCATCAAAAATTTCAATTTCTCTCGAAAAACTTTTGAACGAGTATGTTTATTGGAAAATTGTCCTTTTTTGTAAAGCATTCAATTTCCTACAAGAGTAAACTATGAACTCATCCGTATGATAATTTAGTAATGAAAAAAAAATTCAAAAGTTGAAAACAATTTTTTTCCCATGTTAATGAAGAAATGTTAAAGAGCTGTAACTTTTACAGGATTTTTTTTTCGTCAATTCTTACAATTTGTTCGATATACTATATACTTAAAAGAAAAAAAAATAGTCGATATTTTTGAAACAGTCAATAGATCATTTTTAGTCTTTAAGAAGCTTTTCGAATTTAGTGTCGGGTTTAAGGTGCCCGCAGAGTTTCCGTAACAAAAGACTTAAGCCCAGACTTACGCCTTAAGCTGTAACGTAATTTCTCATGCCTTAAGGCTTAAGTCTTGACTATACTTTATAAATCACCTGATCAGAATTCTGTATAATTCCTTGCGGTTAAGTCTTAATCTGTCTGAAATGAAACTTAACTCTTAAGTCTTACGTTACGGAAATTCTGCGGACGCATTTACTCAGCAAGGTAATTGTCAAATGTACATTTACAAAGAAAATTACGCACAAATCAAAATCGAGCCATTTATTCAGTAAGTAATATAACTTACACTTACCTTTTTTTCTAATAGGTACCTTATTATAACGAGACACAATAGTCACAATACAAATATAGTAATGTTATTTTACACTACGCCGGGCACCACGGCACGACTACGACACATATCAATATCACATAGGGCACGCTGGGTAGTTAAAATCATCAAAACAATAGATCGGGGAATCCCCAAAGACGAGACGTAATATTAAGGCGGTGGTGCCAAGCCCGTCGCGGGCCGACGGATTATAGCTACATTCCTTTAGGAACGCAAGCGTTTTCCTCAAATATGTAGCGTTTTAAAAAATAAACATTATTTATCATTATATTTATTATTTATTTTTCTTTCTAGTATACCTAGGTTATATTAGCACTTAATGAATTTATTGCTGATCGGCGCTTAAAAACAATTTTTTTGAGGCGCATGGCCGGGGCCCCCTATAAGCCGGGGCCCCGGGGCACTGCCCCGGTTTGCCCTAGGATAGCTACGCCCCTGGTTATTCATTTTCAGATTCAGTATTTTATTTGTTTTTGGACAATAAATAGTTTTCATGTAAGAGTATTTTATTTGTACAAACCTGTTGATTTAATGGCTAAAACTGATCAGTATTGGCATTTCGGAAGTAAAAATGACGATACCAGTTAAGGGATGGTTCGTTTTGATTTTATACCGAAGCTTTCCTAATTCAAGTAATTGTTGGTTGTTCGATACGTAAAACCTTAACCTGCGTCAAAGTGTCAGTTCGTGAATATGTTAGGTCTGGTAACCCAGAAATTAGACATTAAGGAAAGGAAGGAGGGAAATAGAGAAAACAGTATAAAACGAAAAAGGAAGAAGTGTAGGTTTTTGTCATTGTCATGATTCAGTTTTTACATATGCTTTTACGCTTATGCTTTTTACATACCCTGGAGCATTCGTCAGAAATGACGCGTTACGACCTGAGGAGTTCTCATGTCTACCTTTAATATGAAGAGGAAAATGCCCAATGTTCAAAGTTCTCTATCTGTATAAGGTACTTGCATGTGCGAAAATTATTGAAGCAACCACGTAAATACTTTTATTAGAAAGATGTAATGGCTAATTCTAACCTGATCATAAACATCTGCCTTTGACGACCTCCATAAAACGTCCGATAAAAAATCCAACATCGGTTTTTCGTCACCAGACATGTATGGTACATATAAAATATTTTTCCACGTCTCCAGGTCATCGTAAGGGGTAATTTGCAAGTAGTCAACTAAACCATGTAAATCTAGAAAAATGTATGGAGGCATTCGTCAAATGGTGTTTAGATTAGGCTTTAGAAAATTTCTTATCCTATAGTAAAAATATGCAACACCGAGAATGCATTAATCAATGATAACTGGAAAGTTAAAGTACTGACTTGCGGATAGTAAGGCACAGATAAGAGGTCGCATTTTTTATTTTATACGGAAGCTACACACATTCCATTAACTACACGCTGTTAAGCGATAGCTATATATGACCATGTGGCTCGACAGGCTGCGAGGGACGGCCCAAACCGCTTCAATCAAAAGTTTTTGATTTTGTCGGTTCCTGTATATCTTAAGAGGCGCAGGGACCGTATTTTTTAAATCGGTGATAAAACTCGTATACGAATAGATAGCGAATGGCGGCTTATCATGTGTAACACGATGTTCCAGCTAGATCCCGAAGACCTTTTTGACATTTCGGACTATGTCTGTACTTAAATGATATACTCTAAAAACCAAACACGACTGACGTCCTAATATGTACGAGAGAGGAGCCGAGAAGCGAGCAGTACGTGTGTTAGAAAGAGGTAGAAGCACCTCGTTCCCTAGCAACCCGAATACGAGGTCACAGAAGCCATCTGCGCACTCATTCTAACATACATATCGCAAGCTTATCGCACTCCCTCTCGTATTCATTACGACGTCATCCAAATTTGAATCTCACCGTATACTGGGCGTTTTGATGGGTGGTTCTGTAGTATAATATTATTCACCATTCTACTTACGCCTGTTCTCTAGTCGTAAGTAAAAGTCATTCAAGATTACTCTTTTCTAATCCTCGTCGACAATTTTTCTCACACTCATCACTACTCTTCTTCGTTTTATTATGCAAGCATATTTTCATCTTCCAAAATTATCAATTCGCCAATATTTGCTTTACTACAGATGACAATAAAATCTCCCAACATTTCGTCTCGCGCCAATATCGATCGAGCATTTTGATCTACATAGAGTATCATGCGAAGGTATGAAATATAAATCTCCTGACTGGAATCTGATACTTTGCTTATATCTCTTAATTGTTTTCTACTGCGTACATATTAGTTCAGAGCTATTTTCGGTTTTTTTGAGGATTTCTACTATATTAGGTTGATCAGGCCCATTACTTGAATTTTCTCGTTACGATTTTGTACGATATGTAAACATTTAGAAATTAAAATTTTCACTGCTATTAACGATACAAAAATTATGGGATGAACTTGGAACATCAGATGTTGCCTTTTTAACTTGACCTACTTTTTGCTTTGTAACATTAAAATTATGTCTGCTCGATCTAGGGTTTCAGATTGCATCCGGACCATGTGTAAATGAACTCAATAATCGCTTTATAACACGACGTTTGTGTAAGCATTGATGGTTTTCAAATTCGTTTCTAGTACTGCATAAATTATAACAACAAATGACTGGTTCCCTTTGTTAATTGTTCCTCTGGTATCTCAATCGTCATTGTAGGTAAAAAATGCCGCATCCATGTCTAATGAGGCCATGTCTACATCCTCTTTAGTCGTTAAAAAATCTAAAATGCCGGTTAACAAACACTCAAAACTATGTATCCACTTTTCAACTCAAGAATTTTAAAATTATACACACATCATCAAATATTTCTAAATATGTCCTCAATTTTTACGAATAAAACCTGTTTTTCGTGTTGAGCTGTAGTACACGAAAACGATAAACTTACAAATACATATTGGTACTTATAGTAATGGATATTGAGCATAGATTCCTTTGCAAATTGTCCATTATTTTTATTACTTAGGGTTTATAAGATTTTGTATATACATATTTCGAGGAATATAATAACACAAAATAAAATATATTAAAAACAGTGAAATATTAAAATAACAGATAATTGCTAACAAAGAATAACTAAGCAAATTAAATTGCAATTACGAAAATATTGACTGATATTACATATGATGAAATTTGAGAAATAAATGCCACTATTTTGGGATGAGCAAAAAGTTTCCTTTGATATCACCCAAAAATCTCAGTTCAACTAGACCCATGGTTCGCTGGTACTCTCTCTGCAATCACCATCCAGTCTGTCTTTCGTGAAAAAGCCTTTATGCGTTTTGATCACATACATATTGTTTTGTTTTTTCTGAAACTACAATTTGCAAACTAGCACTGATTTGTTTTGGTGGATAGAACGTGTTTAGGTTTGTTTTAGATTTATTTAGCATTAATGTTATACAGTATAACAGATAATATATTATGTCTTCAAGACTACATATTTTTATACAGAATTTCACTAATATGAATTCTGGTTTTCCATGAAATATTTTTTCAATTTCCCCTTGAACATTTTCAAGCTGGCACAGATCTTAATATAATAACTTAATTTATTAAATCCATCTAGTAAAATAACTATGGTATTCATTGTTCCATACAATAAAATTTCCTAAGTAATTTGGTAGATGATTTTTTAACTTGAATATGAATATGAAAACCAAGTAGATTATGTAATTTGATTTGAAATTTTCAAAATACAGTTTCGTTTGCAGTGAACAAAATAGTCGAACAATATAACAAATGAAGAAGAATGATAGTGTTGTAATTTATCTTTTTGGATATTTTTGGAATAATATATTCATAGTGCCTTCAAATTTTGATTTATTATCTACGTATATGCCCAAATATTTAAGTGATTCGATTGACTCAATTTTTTCATGATTAATCGTAAGATTTATCTTATTTTCATCTAAAGATTTTCCTATAAGCATATATTTTGTTTTGTTTGTGTTTAATTTGAGTTTATGCACATTTAACCAATTAATTGTGTTTGTCATAGCACTGAACAGGTCTATTGTAGTTTCAATGTCTTTATGTGATATATATATATATATATATATTTGATATAACTCAAATATCTTTCTTCAACGAAAACGTTTTTAAAAAGATTTATTTTTGAGAATAACCAAATACAATGATGTTAATTGAATGAGTTCTGAATCGAGAGTGACTGCAAAGTTCATTATACAAACCAAAGTAAAGAACAAATGAAATACAATACTGAAACTGATAAGAAAGGAACGTGGAGGCAAAAGTCCTTGTTCAGCATATTCTTCTCTATAGACTGGTACATAACTCCTCCACCCCTAGAATGAAGCTTCCCCTGGAAGGTGAATTTCTTTCTTCTTATATCTTGAACTGGAATCTTCTCTTCTAGTGCGTTTTGTGGGACTTGGACCTTCTTCTTTCATCTCGGCTAATTCAATGTCGATTTCTAACTTGGATGCTTTCTTGTTTCTCCATCTTCTATATAAAATTATGCAGCAGATGCTTGAAAATCCGAGATATAGTAATATGGTCCAAATACTGGGTTTTCCAAAATTTTCTTCTAAAATTGGTAACATTCGATTAACTTGTAATTCTGGTAAATTTAACGTTTTCAGAGTAATTTGGGTCTCTGGGATATTTTGTTTCATAAAATGGAAATCCATTTTGTCAGCTACGAGGGGCTTTCCATAGGTTTTGTCTTGAAAGATAATTTCATTGTCTTGGAATGATATTTGGCATTCACTGGCTTTGACTAAGAAAATGCCAAGTAATGACTTTGTATCGATTTGTTCCTTGCATTTAATTTTCATTTTTTCTTCGGTGAGAAATACAGCTAAATACTGGTTAATTTCGGGAATAAATTCAAATTCAATTTCTTCAATCTGAAGCTTCGTGTATCTACATGGCTCTGTATGATCTTCTGTAATTATTGACTTCTCGCATTGGGCTTTGTGATTGGCTAATATACGATTAGGGCATTGATAGATTCTACCTTGGGTACAAATCTCGTGCAGGGGTTTGATCTCATTCATATAATTTGAGATAATAGTAACGAATTCTGATTTGTGCATCAGAGTCGGTATAGGTAACATATAATAAAGATCGAAATGTTCAGGATAATCTATAGGAATAGATAGAAAATAACTTATTTGATTCTCATCGATTTTACAACTGATAGAAATAATAGATTCATAATCTAGCATATTTTCATACTTTACTTCAAATGGTAATTCATTTTTATAAAATGTGGATATCTTACGGAGTTCTTGAAATAATTATCTAGTCCTTATTATACTGGGATGCATGGTTTTCAATTTGCAAAAAGTTATCGAATTTTCTATATCTTGTAAAATATTCAATATGGCATTATAAAGGATAATTAATTGATTGATAATGTCCTTCGCTGAAAGAATATCCTGGTTTGTTGTCTGGTTCAATAGAATATGTTTCAATTGTAAAATGTTATTTCTTAATGTCATCTCATTGTGCTGTATATCTTGAATAGTCCCGTTAAATTTGCGACAAGTTCATTGTTTACTGAATATTGCATTCTCTGCTGATTTTCTTGTAAAGAGATAAAATTTTATCAATACGTTCTCCATCGTCGGAGTCTAACTTTCCTGTTATTGTTTTTACTACATAGCCTATGCCATTAAAAAGTCCTCTCTTATTGCGAGTCTTTTGGGAATGAGATTTAATGTATTCGATTTTCTCTTGAATCAAGCTCCTTATATAAGATACTATCTTACTATAATTTTCTAGCTCGATATTAATCTTAGAATGGTTTCTGTAACTATAGTTAAGATTATATACGATACTTCGAAGTTCTTTTTCTGTCGTGCTATACTTTGTTTCTGAATCACTTAATGTTCGTGAGGCGTACGCTATTAGTAAATCTGAGCCTAATTTACCTTGGGATGATATTGCGCCGATTGCATAATTACTTGCATCCGTAGATATCAAGAATGGTTTGGAAAAATCCGGATATTGGAGTAGCAGATCGTTTGTCAATAAAGTCTTGCATAATTCGAAACATTTAATATAATCTGCGTCATTGGGATTAATAATTGCATCTTTTTTCAATCTGACTGTCAATGGCTTAGTGATTTTCGCAAAATCTTTTATAAACTTACGGTAATAACCTAAAAGTCCAAGAAAGCCTTTAATTTGCTTCTTAGTTTTTGGTATTTTAAAT